TGGCCTCTCCCCATTTCGCAGCACTGTATTTTTTTTCCAGTGTATTTTCCAACACATTTTCCTGCAGTGCCTGCTGGTCCTCGGTTACAGCGAGCGCGTCTGAAGTTATCCGTGTGACGGGGGGAGTGGGGTGGTGGTGGTGGAGGGGGGTGGGGGTTGCTGGTGCGTGCAGGCACTCAGAGGATATGAACAGTGAGACGACCCAGTATGCCCTCCGGCTAGTCTAACGCTCCATGCCCGAGTGACGCTAGCACGCTAGCCGTCACAAATGCTTTAGCTTTTAGCTTCAGTTGACGGGAAGTCAAACACTCGAGCCTTTTTTTTTCGCTTTATCTACTCTTGTGGATACTCTCTGAAGCGCAGACACACAATAAACCACCACCACCGGAAAGCCCGCACTTCAGAAATGTATTCACGACTGAATAAGGCACTCAGGTTTTCTGCTCCAGCTGTTTGCGCTGAATTCATCAGTCTGACTGTCAGTGAGGCGTCAAGATGAAGGCAGCTGGAGCAGACAGAGGGAGACGCCGATGTCACTGCCTGTAAAAATTCGGCTCCATTCGGATCGGCTACATTTCCCATTCAAATCCCTCCCGTGGAGAATGGGCTCCTTCGATCTTGCTGCGCAAGCATGACCAACATCTAGTGAGGGGGTGGAGGGGGAGAGTATAAGCGCACTGCAAAGAAATATAAGGTGTTAAATATTTAGGTTTATAGCAGTCGTAGCCTGTGGCTGCACACTTACAGGGAAGGTTTTCAGCCATGCAGCTTATTAAGTCTTTTAAGTTAAGGTGTATTTCAAAATGTTTCGTTGCTCATTCGAGGGGCTTCATCAACCTAACCAAAACTAATCTTGGAGCATGTTCAAGATTATATCCAGGCCTCACTATAAGCAGCCACAGTGGGATCCATAAGCCCACTGCATCATTTTTTTTATTATTTTCCATTTAAAGAAAAGCCAAACAAGCCGCCCCCCCCCCCATTCCCATCCAAACCCACACCCAGATGGCTCTTATCAACAGAAACTGATCATACTTATACCACTCTTACAAATTGGGTTGTACCATTCCATCATTCCATGTATGAAGAGCTCTAGGGGCTACTTGGTTAATTCTTGTGGATGATAGTTCCAGATAGAGGTATATCCAATAGTGTATGGAGCCAGTGATGTATGGATAGGCTATGAAGGGGTAGCCAACATTGGACGATGACTTTTTTGCTGCAGTTAAGCCAGCCTGCCAGATATTCCGGGATTTTCCCAAGATGGAGAACCTTGAGTCATCATTAAGTAAACAAAGGTCAGGGTCCATTGGGAAGTGGATCGTAGTCAAAGAAGAGATAGATTCAACTACCTTCTCCCAATTTTTCCTCTATATTTACACTTTTATTTGATTTGTATATATTTTATTTTATTTACACATTCATTTTATTTTGTTCGCACAGACAATTAGCGGCTTAATGATTCACAGAAACCTCAACAACTAAATAAAATTTCTGATTTTTCAGTGTTTACCATGCCCACCATTTGCCTATTCCAGCTTCTGTTCTTTTCTGTTGGCTTTTATAGACACCTACAAAGTTCAGTCTTAGAGGTTGGTTGTAATCTTAACCAATCAGTGATGGGGTGGACAGTCCATTGTTCTATAAACACCAGCAGCTTCTTTGTTTGAATTCCTCTTTTTTGTCCATTTCCTTTTCTCAGTAAGACTTCTTGATAGCTACACATCGTTTCAGACCCTTAGCGCTGAATCATCTTCTCGCAGAGGAAGGATGGACAGAAACATCTATGGATTTTGTCTGAAACAAAATGATTGGCATGATTACAAGTAAGTATTGATTCTCTTTCATTATTTCATATAAAATACTGTGATATTTGCAATGTGATTAATATGTGGCATGTGACTGAGAGCGAGGGTGGGGGCCTCTGAGTAGAATGTCGCCAGAAATGGCCCTGTTCCAGTTGCTTTCACTCACAATTACTACAATCTTAAGAGTTCTTTGGAGCAATGCCTCTGAAGAACCACCCCTGCTTCCACAAAAAAACCTTTCAATGGATAGTTCTTTAAAGAACTATTTTTGGAAATGAGAGTGTCAAGAACCTTTTTAAAGTTTAAAGAACCTCCACATAGTGTAGAGGTTCTATACAAGGTAAAGTTTGTTTCTAAAACCCTCATGTAAGACAAGAACCTTTATTTTTAAAATCCAATGTAAATTGGAAATGCACTTTCCTTCCAAACTGTGACCTGTTTCTGAGTGAAACATGATATCTGGGAGGGTCTCTGAGTTAGCTGGGTGTTTTCTCTCTTTGATAGGTGGGAGACGTGGGAGGGGAGGTGAATCATATTGGTATAGGTTAATGCTTCATAATCAACAAGCAGATGTTTTAAAGACAGACTCTTTACATTTTGATGGAAGACAAAACATACATTTTGTCTTTTAAATGGTACGATATAATAATTTGTGCTTAGTAGGACCACAGATGTGAACCAATAAGGTAAAAAAAAAGTTTGATTCCAGGTTGACTGCAGACACTTGGAGATTGCTTGTGATCTAGAATCAGCTTCCTCTACATATCCTGGCTTTAAGCAAGACCAGCAATCTCTAACCTTGGTCCTGGAGAGCTACCTTCCTGCAGAGATTAGTTCCAACCTGTATCCAGTAAGCTGCCCTGCACCTTGATTAACTCTAATACTTCTGATCCAGCCAAACAGGGACTTGGGAAGAGGTTGATAAGCTGGAGCAGACGTGGCAAATTGTGGTTGAAACTGGGCTCTGCAGGAAGGTGGCTTTCCAGGACCAGGGTTGGAGACCACTGAGCTAGACAAATGAAACGGTATAACTGATCTCAGAACAGCCATCAACTTGAGCCGTGATATCAGTTGTATGTTGGCTCTGCAACTTCGTTTCAAGGTTATTTTAAAATGTTAAGACTGCTTATCATGAATTACAGCTAGCAGGGACCATTTAGCATTGCACCAAATGAGAGCACAGAAAAAGACTGAGTTGTACTTCTGTGCCTGAGCATCTGCGAACTTGAGTCATGCGTAGGCGATTGCGTAGCTGTCTGCCAACGTACACTAGGGGACAGTGTCCAACCCAGAATGTACAGAAAATGAAGAGGAAATTCTTACATTTTGAGAGTGTGAAAGAACCTTTGATTGACTGTTTTTCTAATTTTTTGAAGATGAATTGCTTAAATATTTGTTATGTTGGACCTTTTTTGCCATCCAGTCCTTAAACACAACTTTATTTGGTTTTGTGCTAGTTCTTGTTTGAGTCGAGTATTCTTTGGGTCTTGTCTTACTCATTAACCCTTGCTCTGTGTGTTCTCTGTAACACATTTGCATGAATTTTCGCAGAAATATAAATCAGTCTTGTGCTGAGTTTGACATGGTTCGGAAGGGGGAAGTTGGAGCTCGGAATTACGTAATTTATGTACCTTGCGTTCAAGGTACATGGTGGGGAAGAAACATGGACGCCTTCACGAAAGTGAGTATTATGACCAACAATCTAGCCAGCTAATCTTAGTGACACAAGTGATAACTTTAGCATTCATGATGTATTTACCTTCTTAAAATAGTGGACTTCATGGTCATTGTTGTTGTTTAACCAACCAGGTACCTGTACGTTAACTGATCTAAAGCAAATGTCTTTCAAAGAAGAGAAGTTGTTCTTTATTACTGTCGTTGGTATCATGTTAATTTGAAGTGCTACACTGAGCTCAGAGTTGGGAACAGCTGCTATGTTCAGCATTTATTCCTCTCGGAATTTTCCCGCATTCACAAAACTTCAGCTGCTTGAGGTCAGAAAAAAATGTATGGTCACAGTAAGCTAGCTCTTATTTACCTGCTGTGTATAAAAAGCACTTAAAAATGTTTTTCATGTTTAAAAGGTAGATGTAAGCAATAAAAATTCACTATTAATATAGTGTGTGCAGTTTGACCACATCTTGCACAGAATGGCTTATAAATGGGAATTCCCGTTTGGAAAGTCACAATGGTTGCTTTATTCATGGCATCCAAGTATTAAAAGTCCCTTTGTTTATCTCTTGAACTCATAATTCCCACTCGGAAGAGTCAGGATGGTTGCTGCATTCATGACCCAGTGGCAACTGGGAATTTTCCGACTTTGGAAAAGTCATTTTGCACATCCCTCAAAGTCATAATTCCCAAGTCAGAAAGTCTGAAATTCTTAAGAGATTTGACATCTCCAAGTTGTGAATTTGTGATGTCATTCAAACGGAGCGGGACTTATAGTACAAGTAATAGCTACTGAGAGACTTTGACTTTCCGACTTGGGAATTATGACTTCGAGAAATGTGCAAAAAAATTTTTTTTTACTTAGAAGTCAGAATCTTCCCAGCTGCCACTTGGTCATGAATGCAGTAACTAACCTAACATTCCAAGCAGGAATTCCCAGTTTATGCAAGCATTTTCTTTGATTTTTCCTAGTCGGAGGTGGAAGGTATGAGCTTCAGCCGAACGCAGCATTCACTGGGCCCCTTTGACTTATATTCATTGTTAGCAATGTTAGCATGTATGAGAAAATATCCCTTTAAAAGTCCAGTAAGAGGGCCAGAAGAGCTGGATTGCAGTACAAAGGAGCATTTAGGGTAAAAAAACAAAACAACAAACAAACAAACAAAAACAGCACAAGCAGAGAAACACAGGAGAAATCCCAGGATGATGCGGTGATTACACAGGAGGCGGCGGACTATTAAAAGCACATTGCTCTGAGCGCATTTCAATCTCGAGCTAAGACCCTGCGAGGCAAACAGAGACAGAAGACTAAGAGATGAACTCGTCCCTGGTTTCCACCCACCACACTGTGGCTTAACACGCAAGCACAGAACGGAAAAACCACCGTACATTTACGAGATGCGGTTGCCGGTCGACAACTGTGGGCCGTCTAGCTTTAAGACATGTGATACCTCTCTCTCTCTCTCTCTCTCTCTCTCTCTCTCGCACACACACACTCCAGTCAGAGCAGAGTGGGAAGGG